TTCGCCCACGGATCGTGCAAACAAAATTCTTTGTGCGCGTCAAAACGAGGGACGTTCAACCATCACTTTCGAATTTCGCATTGGGAAACTTATCAATGTTACAACCATGGACAAGCGTAAACAAAGCACAAACAACAAAGCTTCTTAGCACACTATGTAATTTCAACGATTGACAAATAAAAACCGGGTTAATTACAGTTCGAATCCGAAATTTGTGAGTTGTAAAGCTAACATGTGAGGATCAATTATTTTGCAAGAAAACCGTAAGCGCGAAACGCAAATTTTGCCAGGACATACCAATTTATATGCTTACTATAATTCTCTGAACTAGTTTTACATTATCATAACCAAAATCATCAGATTCTATTCTACGGGAAGAAAAATGCTTCGAAACAGCTGGTAGAACAAAAGTTTGCTCAAACGAACCGAACGCAATAAAAGAACAAGTCTTTATATAATAAATACCACATTATGGTCTTGTGTACCTGCTCCAAAGTCCCACCCAAAATAGCTTAGCGTTTGTTGATTGAAAATTTCGACATTCTTTATTGACGTAATTTTATCCCCCAAAATTGGCGCAGTGAAACAGAGGTTCTCCAATTCAAAGTAAGAGAGTTGGGGTATTCCGGCTCTCCCAAGCGTAGAACCTGGCGTACGTGTTTAAATACTTTCAATATGGACTTTTGTTCTAAGCAAGTGCGCATAAAGGTGAATAGCATACGTAGAGCAAATTAATTACGCCATGTAGGAGTATTGCGTGCCAATTTACCAAAAGTCGGAGCGTGACAGACTTGCTATAGGCGACGATATTTTCATACCAACGTGATATGATTCGCCAACCAATACATTAGAATATTGAAATTCGCGCTCCAAACGAGTATTTTCGGACAACTGTGGAATATAGCGTGATTAGTTGAAGAAATCTAGTTTCGTAGTATTTGTAACAGGAATGGCATAAAACCATAATTTGCACATTAGTCTTTTAGTAGTTAGTAGAGCCACGCCTTGCTATAATAAAACATGAACACTGTACTTTCAAAAAACAACGCCAATAATTGGATTAATTTTGGTACAAATACTGAAATTGACGGCAAAACCAAATCGAATCATAAACCCGATCGATTTTGTGATCAATAAATATATCGCATTTATTGTTGAGAGTAAAATGAAAATCGATTCCTGAGCAAAATGCCACACTAGGGGTTTTGAAAAACTAACTTTCAGGCCAAAGAAAATAGCAACTCCCAAGAGAGGTTTTGGAATAAATATTATTAACACACAGTGAAAAGTCAATTTAGCAATTTCAGGTCAACGGTTTCTAACATCATGATAATATCAACATCACGATAACAAGATCACATTCTCAAAGGATTACAACACATAAGAAGGTATAACAGTATTAATCATTTATACAACCCCGGACAAAATGAAATCATTGCATACATGCAGTCAATAACAATTATGTATATTGATCATATTGTTTGGTGGTTACGATAGTCGGTATAGGGCTATAGGCGGTTGAGTAATGTGCAAATATATTGATTGAAGAATCGCAATTAAATATATGAATATTTACGTAGTGAAGAATTTATAGGATTTTACAATTTTTCGTTCTCTCTGAGTCTTCTGTCATTCCCGTTGGTAATTTGAATAATGATTATAATCACTAATGAACAACCACTGATAAGCACTAACTAAAATTATATTAAATAATCATAAATTTATCACCAAATTATATTTCAATACAGGGGAATCGTACACGGGAATTTACTCATAATCAGTATTGACCTTTCGCTTGTAAACGAAAGTGTGTGTAACACTGGAAGATTGGCACTGAAGAGGTATAGTCTCCATTTGTAGATAACAGACTTAATTTTCACAACGTTTTACCAGTTATTTCCAAATAAGAACGTTCCAACACGGGTTTTCGCGTGGGTTTGATACTGAAGAGTGAGCCAATTACCACATATGAAATTCAATGCATTTGTTAATAATAAGACGAACCATAAATACGAACTTATGCGCAAGTCTACCAAACAAGTAATTTTCTGATACGAGGCGCGTAACACGATATTACAACAGACATCGACGGGGGAAAGGAAACGTATTTGCCACAGTTAACCAATTTCCTGGTAATTTATCATAACTAAAATTCGCTTCATTTATGTGAAGATAAATATTAAATAATATAACACGAACATCGATTGCAAAGTATGGGATGGCGACAATGGCGTAATGGTCATAGGATTCACAAGGCATCATCCACGAGAGCATCACCCACGAGAGCTGAATTGAATGCTCTTGAATGAACTGCACATTGATTGTGTTTGAATTTTGTAACTGTTATTTTATTAAAATTTGAATCTTTTCGCCAATAAAGCAAAAGTAAAACATATGTTTTGTAGAGGAACTTTGAAAAATTTGGTCTTTTGTTTTATCTAAAGCCCCGCCACTAATTCAAAAATGTAAGATTTGAGAAAAACACCCCCGTCACGTTCTAAGCAGGACAGATTGCGTTCACCACGTTAGCGCTGCCGGGGGTGTTATTTTGGGCGGGGGCTTTCTACAAAAAATCCGGAAAATATTTTGTCATAAGTTGGAGAAGGTATTCTCCGTATTTACGAGTTCTAGGGCCTTTATCTCTGCGAGCGTGAGCAAAAGCTAGAATTAAAGTCATTTAAGAAGCCAAATACTTCCGAGTTTCCTGATCGAGGTTTTCTCTTGAAACCTCACGGGACAAGTTTCCAGGGTAGTTAACATTAACGTACATAAGGATGATTTAATAAACGGACTAAAAAATTTAAACCGTACAAATTCGACTCCGGCGTAATTGACTCGAAGTCAAACCACGTTCTCAATCATAAACCTTATTTTGAATCGAATGGGCATTTATGTGAATTATTGATAAGGAACTGCTGCGTAATACAAGTGATTCCCGTGCAAATGCTGAGGGTAACAAACTATGTATTAAAGAACGAGAGCTACATACAGTAAACACATTACCATCGAATCACAAAAGTATGACGTCAGGATGACGTCAAAACCCTTTTTAACCTTTAGAATAAACAAACAGTGTGATGAAAAACAGTTGAAATAAATAAGCTCAAAATGCAATATCAACGTGGATGAATTCCGTACTATATAGTGTAAATAAAACAATTCATCTAGTTGGGCGGTCGTGGACCCATTCCAAAGACTCTCAACACTTTTCCCCACTAGTTTTGCTTCTAATGCGTTCCCATCAATATTATATGCACCATGTTTAATAATTAAAAAGTCAACAAACGAAGGCAAATGCATAAATTAAACACAATTAATAGATTCAACAAATCATAGTCACATTTTCTTTAAATTAATGCGGTGATCACGAATTGTACCTAGTGAAGGCATTTACTCGTGGTCCCAGAGAATGAAAGCCCAGTTTGAAAAACCTTGTTTTTGACCAGGGCTACTCAACTATTTTCACCAAAGGTCCGTTGACGAAACTTCAAAATTACTGGGGTCCGAACATTCCAGAAAATTTTTTAAATCAAATAAACGAAACTTCAAATTCAATATTAAATTAGATACAAGAGCAATGAATGGCTCGCAAATATGGACACAAATATCGACCAGTACGACAAACTGTACAGCTGTGTATTTAAATTGTATCAAAATCATTTAAAACTATAAAACGATGCTTATGCTGCTAAAATAGACAAGCAGACGCGGTCCAAATTTTATGGTCGAAAGGTCCGGATTCGGACCACGGTCCGCCAGTTGAGTAGCGCTGTTCTAGATCTAGACCAGGGTGGTCCAAAACCAAGCCCGCGGGCCACATGTGGCCCGCCACTTCATTATCTGTGGCCCGCGTCATATTCGAGGAGTAATCAATAAATTGCATTTCGTGCTGTTTTGTAATCAAATTAATCAGAAAAATCTTTTGACATATTGTTACATCACTAATGTCACTGAATCGACTAGTGTTATGACTAGCTGAGGCAAATAGCGAAGTTGGATGTGCTTGGAACTCTAAATTATAATCTGGCTTTCTATCTTTTAGGTAATATATGCTAACAATATAGACATCATAGAAAACTAAAAATCGAACGCGGATTCTATTAGCCTGGGATGGCTATGTCTGATAATTATGTGTTTGCACAATAAAAGTGTTTGTTTTGTATTTCACTGTTTACCTATTCTTGGCACTATTGTGGCCCGCAAACAATGAAAAAAATAATTTGTGGCCCGCGGAGCCGACAACCTTTGACCACCCTCATCTAGACTATTACATTTCTCAACTGAATCATTGCAAAAAAAAATTATCTCAATTTTACTTGATAGTTCAACTTGATTTTAAGTATAGTATTACATAAAATGTTAGTAAATCTGATAGAAATCATATTCTAAGCAGTTTCGGACCTGGAAAGTCTAAAAAAAAGTTCTACTTAATACTATTAATAATGACCACAAGAGCTTTATTCTGGGCGTTTTATATTTAGTCGTCACTTGTCAGTACATGAAACGGCTACAAACTCGATGACCTTAATGTTTTTACATATTCGTTATATATATAAGAAGTGACATTTCCATAAGACACTTTTAGAAACGTCCCTGGAGTATTTCGCACCTTTGGTTTACCATCTCATTAATGAATTATAAATGATATGACACTGGTTCCGGACATATTGATTGGTAATAAGAAAATTAGAAACCATTCTGTTGTCTCAACATTCATACTAATTTTTAGGATAGGTTTGGATAAGGTAGGCTAGGCTAGGTTAGGCCTCCCTGCGTTTATATCACTGGCCATGGTTATCTACTTTTTTGAAAAAAAAAATGATTCCAAAAATGTAAAACTAACATACGCTAGCCAATCGGAAAAATTAGTGGTGGGGCAATAGTTGTATATTATAAGCTGGCATCGAAGATTAAATTTAAGAAAACAATGGAATTTTAATATTGCAATAGCATCATCTTTTTCAACCTGGTATAAATCAAGTTTAAAGTCAGACACTTACCTGTAAAACCATAGCAGACTGATCATCATGGTACCGGTACCTGGTTGCGACCAAAGTGCAGCAACTTTTGCGACGTAAGGTTGCTCCCCTGCATCAGCACGCATTATGACGCAATCTCGAACCATAACAACGTCGTCTTCGTCAGATTTGCCGTCACATTTCCTCCTCATAGAAGGATAACAGAGACGTATCACTGGCTTTCCGGATTGCTAAACGAAAATAGGGAAGATTAACCCCGTATTTTGATAGATGAATGGAACATTTTGACGTTTGGAAACTATATGATGAAATATTTTTAAATTTCGACAGAATCGAATCGTTTGGGAAAAACAAATTCTAATATTGAAAAATTACATCTTGGTTAATAAGAGGTTGCAAGAGATATAGCAGTTGTTGAATGAATCGGGTCATTTCACGCCAGATAAACCTAAATTGCCCAAAACAGATGAGAAAATACAACGGGCCAAAAGCTGAAAGGTTATATATTAATATCCTCTTTGCTTATCACGTATATCGAGGTGCTAAATGTCACGTGATATAATGTTCGAATAATAATAACATGAGAACAGAGTGGTAAAAATAATATGATCTCATTTCACGAAATCACGAATAGTAACTTCATTGTTGGCTTTAAGATGGTAATGTTACCTCAGACAACAAGAAATTACTTATAAACGAAAAATGCCAGATTTTTTGGGAAAAATCACGATCTGGGTTAAAAATACGTGAAATGAAGGTATATTCTATTTATAAGATAAAATCAGTTTTTTAAAAACCAAAATGAAATTAAAAGAGTCAATGACAAGCTTTCGTAAGACTATATAAGCTAGGAATAAGCGGTTTTAGACACTCCGATATTGCACACACTACTTCCAATCTTTCTTGTCAGGGATGGCGAACCTTTTTCAATGAATGGGTCAAAAAATTATATTTTTATCACGAAACAGAAAAGGGTGGGTCACAGATATTTAATCGATGTTGGTATCTACGAGAAACTTGCTGCTGCATCCTGTCTTACAAATATTATAAGCTTCGGTTGGTGTTGTGTAGTTTTGGGATTTATTTATGTAGCACTTCTATCAGGGACTACTATAGACTCTTTATGGCACTCTTGATTTTATGAAATTCTTGTACGAAAATACGCATATGAGTTATCCAAAAACGTTTGGGATGATGCGGGTATATGGTTATTACAAATGGCAAATTATTTTACGGTTTCAAAAAGTTTCCGGAGGGAATGAGATATATTTTTCGATCGGCTTTTACATTAATGCACATTATTTCAGATTCATAGGTCTTCATTTTACATCTAAAACGTTGTGTTTTCACAACGGCAGTGCAGGCGAGAAACTAATATAATGCAAAGTAGCATCTATTTCCCGTATACCCCCCAAAGTAGTCTACAGTGCCTTATGGTTCTTGGCACGTGCGAAAGGGAACGCTGTAACATGTTGCGAGAAATAAACAGATCAATTGTATTGTTATGTCATAAACGATGTCACAGCCAATAGCGTGCAGACGTGCGTACAAAATTGGGAGTTTTGAAAATTACCATACCGATCGGCTTTATCACTTATATATATGTTAGTATGTTTTTTATGTTTCGCGGGTCATTGGCTCGCCCTCCCTGTTGTAGGTATTCCCGTGGGTGTGATTTAGGCTGATGGACACATACATTAATACACAAGAAACCTATTGGTTTAATTTAAAAATAATGATTGTTGTAAAAAACAATCTCTATATCTGATCTCTTTCTTACTCACTGATATTATATCATTACACTACGATAGCGATTACGCGATGAACGAAATGCAACTCACAAGAAGCTTTTATGGATTATATCAAAGCGAATAACTATAACTTGACAAAATGTGCATGCTAGACGAATATAGCGTACATTGGAAAGTTAGCGCCTGACATACCTGTTATGTATGTCTGGTAGTAGCTTGCTAGAGTGCTGTTATAAAAAAATTTGTAACTCTAGGGGGAAGAGGTTGGAAAAAAAGATCAAAACATAATATATCGCTCGTAGTTATACGGTGGTAAAATTATTTAACCACAAACCATACACGCATAATTTCACCATATGACAGCAAATATGCCATTTTTGAACGGTATAATATATAATTAAACAAAAAACTTATGTGATATGTGACAAGGTAAGTTAATAAACCTTAAGCAAATCAACCTTTTTCGAAACAAGGTCGCGATTGGTCAACTGAAGATGGGAAGATGGCTGATGGATGAATCGCAAGTGTCTCAAATATTTAAATAAAGTTTTATTGTTGCGACCTAGATGCCAGCACATAGCGGTTAACGCGAGGGCTTTAAAAGTCACAACAATGCCAGGTAAACAGGCGGGTTGAATGAAGGGAAGTGGGACCTGAACGAGGGAAAATGGCTTATTAATTTGACCTCGGACTCGATTACAATAAAATAAAGAAATGGCAGAAAATTGTAAAGGTAAAGCCCCCGGTCATCGGAGAAGGTCATTCAAATGGCGAAAGTGACCATATATCTGACCATATATCCTGTCTATTCTCATCATCATCATTGCCGACAATTTGACATTTTTCTACAGTAAGTAAACAACAGTGAGTCTGTTTATAATTAGATTATAATAATACTTCGTGAAATCGAATCCATAAATAGCACCGAATTCTAAAATTAGAACAATGGGAGCGGGAGCTGCGCAATTCTAAGTGACGTGCTAATGGAAATTGAATACCAACTTGGCAGCATGTTTTTGGTCGTCCAAAGATTAGTCTCGCAAATATGTCACATAATGAAAATATGGAAAAAACCATCGTTGTATTTGTACAGCCACTATAGGGTATTTTATAGCCATTTGATATGGTAAAATATTACATGTATAATGGTGTGCAACGGACACTGCGAACTAATTGGCGTCCTAAAAATGGCGTGTTCCTGTTTAAGCACACTTTTAAGTCTCACTCTTTCAGTCTAAGATAGATATGTATTGTGGGGCAAATGGTTAAGTGGTATTCATGCTATTTTCTTGGTTAGAATCATCGATATATTGCTAGCAGAAGGTTTAAGTTTTCAAATGAAGTGAGATTTATACAAATGCGACGCCACATTTTTGAGATAGCCTAGTCTGGCCGTCGTTGAAAAGTTGTTCGCCTGTATTATGTATTAGAATGTCAATACAATAATCACACCTGGACATTGAATTCTTAAAATTTGCGTAGGGCACTAGCATGTGGATCAATATGACATCGGTTGTGTTGCCTTGTCTTTATTCTTCGGCTTTATTAATGCCTTATGAATAAATTCAGATACGATATTTACAATGATTTCATTTACTATGTGAAGCCCATTCGGTAATCTGATTTTCATGTCCATTCGAAATTAGGTTTCGCGTGAATTATTGCAAGTATTATTTAAGGTTAACTAACTTTGGCATGTAATACAGGCTATAAGACGCGGCATAGAAATTGGAAATATTTTCACTAATGTTAGGGCCACTGCTGGAGGTAGCCATAACGCTTTCCATCGACTCAATATAGTTGTCTGGGAAATTAGTGATACGAGGCTACAACTTCTGAAAATAGGCACTGAAAGCCAGAAACTCAAAAAAAATTTCATCAGTTACTTTGTAAATTTCATGAAGCGCTGTTGAAAATTTGGGACCAATCCTGGTTTAAAGACTTAAACTGGGCGAAGACTTGAAACAAATAATATGCAGTAAAATAACGTTACGTAAAAATGAGTACGTAGACAGTCCACACATGATAATCATCAACTGTTATACAAGACCATTATTACGTGGCAATATATACAATTTGCTTTTTTACCAACAAATTGTTTCGTAGGTGCAATAAAACATCTATAATTGAGGATGTCCATATAAACGAGCTTAACGCAATGGACGTTCAAATTGAATTCTTAAATTATACGAAAAGGCGCGAACGACAACGACGGTTTATTTAAAAGTTGCCAAGCGATCACACCCAGACTCGCGACCACAATGAAGTGCTCCAGTCAAGCGTAATACCGCGTTCAAAGTGAACTATATATCGAAGTTACCAAAGCGACAGAATGATTTAAATGTAGAAATTTACAGTAAATATATTTAAAATCGGGATTGAGAATAAAACGTATTGTAACGTGTAGATCGCCCCATTTCTAATCGATTGCTCAAATTGACAAAAGTTACACGGCAATAGCCAATGGAACATTGTTATCTCTGGTGGGGCTTTTGGGGCAACTTTGGTATTCTTGAACATTGCTCAAGATAACGTCGTGATTCTCAGACTAAAGTACAAAAATCGCAAGGCCACTGATATTTATAGAGCTAAATAAATATATTCAGTGTTGCCACCGAGTTATCTATCTCGTTACTCGAGATAAAAATACTACTTACGAAATATACGACGGCAAAGCTTCGAAAAGCCTACAAACATAGATGTCCGATTTTGTATCGTACAAAGAGGGATGTGATAATTTTACCTCAGATGCGATTATCATAAAAAGTGGAGTAGGTGATGGCGGGTTTCTCAAAAATTTCGTGTCCAATTGTCAAAATTGCTTCACTTCATATGGATACTCTAACCTTTTGCCTAACTATTATATCTACCCTACTAGCACAAAATATAACATGAAATATTAATTCCACTTCATATGCTTACTTTTAACCATTTCCTGAAAATAATTTCTATGCAAACTCAGAAGAGTTGGACAAGTGTCGCGGATTGAGGAAAGAGTCGTGGGACATTTTTTGCGAGATAAGGATATTTTTGAGACACCGGTAAATGGCAAAAATACTTCAAAGATAAAGAACACAATAGTCTACATGTATCCATCCCTATTCCAAATGTAGTAGAATTAGTATGGATGTCTCATTAATGCCCCTGCATAGGGAAAACGAATTCTTATCTAAAAAAATAAAAGAAAATAACCTATTTTGTACATTATCAGAAGAATCGAAACTAAATGGGATCCTATTTAGTAAGATATGCTTTGTAGACATAAAATTAAGGTAGATGGTTGTTTCGGTCTAAGATAACATCAGATGTCGGAATTTTTACTACGCTGTACCATTGACTAATTTCGAAATAAAAAGCAAAATGTGGATTTCCCCTTTAGGACATTTGAGAAAAATTGTCTGACGCAATAAGACAAAGACCGAGCCTGAAGAAATGAACGACACTGAAGATATATATATTAATAGTGGGTACATCAACTGGCCAATGTCACGTGCGGCCAATGCTGAGTGCTGTATGTTATGATCATAATTCCAGATGCAGACAGTGTGATAACATTTATACCTTTCCTATATGGAACTTACCACGCTATATACAGGTGCTTCATATGGTTTCCCTTCCCATATCCAACCGTTGTTCTCGATGACGGTTTCGTTAGATTTCAGACGTGCTTTCGTTGACTTGTGCTGTTTCGGCGTTTCCCTTTCATAAGGTGAAAATTTCTGGATCGGGAAGTACAACATTACTAATTCAAGTACCTTGCAAATTACGTAAACCACTACAATAAATAACCATGTATGAAGGGGAATTTAAAAGCAACGAATGTAAAAAAATGAAAAGAAAGAAGTTGCGATTTGAGCAAGCGGGAAACTTGCGTAATAACCACATGATGTTGGGCCAATGCTATCTTTTCAAAGGGAATTCCAAGCTTGAGAGGCTTTCTAATTTGTAGAATTTAAATATTCAAAATTGAAGTGTTTCATGAAAATTTTACTCTGCATACGACGTTTGATGTATTTGCTACTCATTTTGAATCCTGTATCAATTTGAATTTAAAACCAGGATTGAAGAAATACTAACATTACTATGGAGCTCAACAGATTCAAGTTGTAATATTAAATCAAAATGAACTATGTGGAATAACAAAATGAGTATCAAACTTTTTAACACTTTCGTTTCGGTGATTAGAACACAAGTGTGACAATTGTAATTAACACCTAGCAGCTGATTACGAGAAAAGCAACAATGCACGTGTCACGCCTCAAAATCAATACCTTTCACAAACAGTGACACAGACCCAATAATCAAATATTAGTCGTATATCGGGGATAGGAAACGCACATATATAACCAATCTATCACACAACTGACCGAAAAATATAGCTTTTTAATACGGCAAATAAATTGGAATCGAAGAGATGTCGAAATATTATCGAGGTGTTAGTAGACATCATCGACCGCGAAATTGTACAGAAATTGAATCGATTTTCATTTTCAAAACTTTCAGGTGCATTTAACATTTGCATGTGTCGTTTTTAGGTCTTATCGATTTTATGATTTTGACTTTGGCAATTTCAATTTAGTAATGTATTCGTCAAGAAGAAAATTAAAATGGGCACGTGCTAGCCCTCTAGCTTTGGTTTGGGAAACCACTATTGATTATTAACTTGGCATAAACGAAACTTGAAAAATCTGTCGTTTGTGGTTCGTTTTCATGTTGGTTTGGAAACAAATGTTTCAGTTCTAATTCAACAGAAAAAATACCTGGTTGATGCTTATGCGTATCATAAGAAAAACATAACTCAAACTGACCTGTTGGCGATAATATTCATCCGTTCCTGGTGCAGGAGCGGCTTTGCACCGTAAATTAATCTGAGAAGATTTTTTTCTTCCTCGTGCAGGCGCAGACGCAGAACCTTCTTCTAGATCCGTTGAGCAAGATGATTCTGTGAAACCAAACATGTAAGAATTGAGTATCTGAATGTAACTGTTGTTGAATTTGTTGTCCTATAGAAGTGAGAATCGCCACTTCAGGCCTACACAGCATTACCTTGCACCGTCAGTCGATTCCATCCTCATTATCCTCAGAAATATAACCGGTAATTTATGTTACAAAACTGAAAAGCAATGAATTTACCTGATGAGGGAGAATAAGCATCATATCTGATGATATCTTTGCAAAGTATGGATGGAACAAGATTTCTGGAACTTGAGTTTAATTGGAACTTGCTTTTTGCAATATTACTGCTGAGCATATTCTTAGCCGAGACTGACAGTGAATTCGACATGATAGAAACCTGTTTTCTCCACAATTTTGGGGTATTTTTCTTTGCGTAATTTCGTCCAGTCGGATGTGCATTTTTATTTTTGATACCTCCACTTGGAATGCTACTCTCCCCTAATTTCAAGTTCAGAGGTTCGTCTTGATCGAAGGGTGGATAACTTGTTTGTCTTTTACATACATGATCTTCAATTTTGGGATTGACATAATACCTCGGATGGTGCAGGAGGCGTTCGCTCGGTGATAAACTGACTTGCGTACCCGATGATCCAGCTAGCATCGGCGCAACGTTTACCAGTTGTGAATTGTCCAGACATCGCATCAAATCTAACTTAACTGAAGTTGAATGAAGTGCAAAGATCGGAAGGGATGCGCTTCCGCCCGACATTGTACTGGGACTCGGGTTTAGAGATATTGGCAGCAATAGAACCTGCGAGCTGCCGGAAACTGCGTCCGAAGGATGCGTTTCTTTTGTTGTAATACTCTGGCGTTTAATGAGAGGAACTACGGATGCGGTAGGCTTGCCTTTGCTGATATATGAGTTGCCAGCTTTACCCGTGACGGACAGCGCCGACTGCTGATGAACGCAAGGCTTCGGTAACATTTCAGCCTTCCGTTTCAACTGCTTTCGCTTTCCTCCTCTAGTCGTAGTTATGAATCTATTATTATCGATATCGTTTCTTTTTTCATCGACACAATTGTTATGTGGTCCCGGCAAGCAAGGGGCAATCTTGGCGCTTTCACGCAGGGTTATCTTTTTATTTGCATTGACACTGAATTGCGCCGATTTTCCTAAAACGTCATCTTCCAACTGTATGTTCCAGAGAGCTTCAGCAGTTAGGCTTGCTGCTCGTCGTTTTCTAGTTGCTGGCTTCATGATCTTAAATTAAGATCTGAAACAGTAATCATAATAATACATTAAACATTTATAACAACTTTCATTTGCTGCTCACTATCCAGTGTCGGTAGGCAAGGTTTTAGGGCTGAACCCACTTCAGTCCAAAGCTTGTGATATACTGCGAGGGCGACTAACTATACACAATAGTGATGGCAGTTCATAGTTTTGGAAATATTCGCCAATCTACCAACTACCGTGTTTGGAAACCGCCTCCACGATATTATACATAGAATGATATTCCAGCAATGCTGATATATAAGAAATGTTTAGATATAAGACTATACATTTGTTTAAGTTTAGATCGGTTAGAAATTGTTTCCTGTTTAGTATATATGGGCGCAGGATGGGCTGCGTCTACTCGCAAGGTTTATTTTACGTTCTCGTAGATACAAATACACGAATAAATTTTTTTTTGTTGGAAATGTATCTACTGCATGAGTCAGGTAATGGAAACGGGGTATTCGTCATGTTTAATAATAATAAATGATCAGTGGAAATTCCATTCAGCTGCTTCGGTTAAAACATATAATAACATATTTTTGACGGAACTACATGGACATCACAAATATACAAAAATGCCTGTTTTAAATTTTATGACATTGGGGTATTTATCGAATGAATTGTATTGAAATATCGGACCTCAAAAAATATTATTGAACAAAATCCGACCTTCAATACCCCTTGATAAGCTGAACTAATGGCTACAACGCAGTACAAATGTAAACAATTTCATCCTCCACTATGCAATAATGCGAAGGAAAATTTCGATCACGTACATTACTAATAAAGCATATTAAATATATACAGGACAGTTAATATATTCTAAAATGTCCACCTATTTAAACAAAAATTCAAACTCAAAGCAAAATACTTGAGTCAATATATATCTTTGACAGAAATAATATTACTGGTACACATTACAATGTTTTATTGTAATTCCCACTCAGTTATTCAAACTTCCAGTAATCAATTGGATTTATTCGGCAAATAAATTTCCGAACATTTTGCGCGATTAATCCTCATAGGCCTATCCTTTCTTGAAGATTATCGCAATGCAAAGCTATTTAAACCATCAAATCCAATCACAGGAATTGTGATAAACAATGTTGACGTGGCAGTTAATTGTTCATGCAAGCTCATCGTGGACGATGCTTAAAAACCTAAACCGCTTGGACGACGAATTTATCATTTTCAACTATTATAACTTGTGCTTAAAGCACAATCTATTCCAGCCCTTTTTTGGTTTTCTCGCGTTTCATGATTTAAAAAATACCAAATCTTGATTTACAAAAAAATAATAGTTATTGTTTTTGCCGCTTCGATCTTTAAATTTCCAATTTGATGCAATGTTAAGCCGTTAGGTTCGCGTATGCAAATATTATTACGATTATTATAAGTGGCGTTGATTTTTTATCATTACAGTACATATTTATAGTAAACAATTGCGAGCTTTCTTTGAACTAAAAACTTTCAGAAAGCTACGTCTAATCTACACCAGATATAGTTTGAAACTTACCCACTCGAGTGCAAAAATAGGATATATGTTGGTTAATATTATCACGTCGTACAATACAAAAAATACGTTTGAATTATTAATTTAAAGCTGATTCCTCATTGCCAACTTAAAAACTCGCAACCCGACATTTTCAAAAAACCCTAACATTGTCTCTGACACTATAGTGTAATATTGATTGTACATTAACATAAACTAAGAATGAAGGAGTAAAATGTACCGTCCATACACAACCGAGTACGTAACTAAAACAAAAGATAAATTCGCTACGATGATTGCTTTTCCTGTAAGCAGGTCGATATTATCAGTTTCAACGGGATTCTTTGAGACGGCGTATTAAAGGCATCAATCAACTAAGCGAAACAAATTGATTCGCTAAAATTGGCGCTTAGGCGCTCTAGCCAGAAACACAACAGCCCTTCGTAATCCCCGGTCAGGCTTTAACTTGTAGCGATGGTCGCGAGAGAGTCAGAGAGATCGATAAAAATGGGACGACACGCTTGGGCGATTGTCTACGTCACCGTTATGAGATCACAGTCGACCAACAAAAAAGACGAAAAGACTATGTTGGGTGCCTTGCAAATCCAAATACGCGCTGTAGTTCTGTATATTGTAATAACCTGTGTGTGTAGCCTATAATATTAAACACTTCAGGGTTTCAGTCAATAACACAGTTACCAATGTGCTTAACCTTACTTACGATATTTATCTCTTTATCCAAAGTAGGCTTTGGTTGGAATTCTCCGATGTACGACAAAAAATCAAATATCAAAACCAAGCAAGCAAGAAGTAATTTGTATTAAGTTTTCTTTGAAGATATACAGGTAGTTTCTTACAATTGTAAATTATAAAAACCAGAGTGCAGTTTTGACGGAGCTGAGCCGCGGGTATGTTTGGTTTGCGTGCCACGAACAAATTGCCTGCACAGGGGACAGCACTTCACTACACAGGTACACAGCACTTCAGTATCCTCCTACATTAAGGTGCAATTTTGTACTTTATTTGTGGGAGGACATGTACGGATTTGTAATGTGGTGAATGCAATGAGAAGATGGAAAGGTGCAGAGAGTGTGCCACTGGAACTGTTCATTGGGGCTTCGGATTCAATTGAAATACTTTATTATTGGAATCGGCTACACAGTTTTTTCAATCACCAACATATTTTTCTTAATGACCGTCTGTCATCAGTCCTTATTTTTAACCTTGCTATCATCGTAAAGATTTAACGCAACTACTACATTTTGCATTATTTATAGTTCTATCGTCAGGAGTTCAATTCACATTTTTCTGCAAATTGTTAGTCGCGCGATCGCATTACGCGTTGGTTTGCTGCCAAATGCTATTTTTGTGCGGCTCAATCAATTTTGAAATATGTATTTTCGTGTGTAATCTACCATTAACCAATATACGCTAATCCTTATTTAATATTGAATGGGTTCAGTACTTTATATATGTTGAATGGTAGTTAGATATAATATTACTATCAGTTTCGTTTTTGAGGTGTATTCTGGAAAACAATTTAGAAAAAAATTTCCCATTACTTTGAAGCTTACGCTGATTGTGAGATACCAAATTCTAGACTAGAAATTTCTGACTGGAAAAGTCTTCTGCTCTGCAATACTCTTGACGTGTGAATTTTTCCACTGTGCTAGAATTGCTTCGGGGAATCGTGAGAGGCAGTATATGTATAGGCCTACAAACTAGAGCCATACTCAAATAACTGGTTAAAATCATTCTCGCTTGTTTAGCAACTCTCTCTCTTATTTCTTAATCGGATATCAGCTAACAGAAGTACCTCAGAGAATCTTTTCTAGAAGTAATAGATGTTCTTCTATACGGCAGCTAAATAGTCCAATGTGAATTACGCAATTTAAATTCTGTTTCCAACTTCTATAGTATATATATATATATAAAGGAACACAAGATTCACAACACTGCCTATACAAAGATTATTCATTCCCACCGTGTCCCGAAATACATTATCGAGATGAAATCGCGTTATCATATCCCAATTCAAATTATTGAACGGAAAATAGAAGGCATGACCATTATAAGATCTACGCTTGACACGTTTAACCAATAAATGCTCGATTTCTATTTATTTCCAGAGAATGCTCCAAAAAGCCAATCATACTATATACTGTTTGATACAACGCTAATGCTTTAAAGTTTAAATATTATAAGTGATATCGGTTATCAAAATTATTTTCGAACATTTTGCGAGCAAGCGTACGTGACTGAGTGTAAAAACGATTCCCGAAAATAGCGCTGTCGCGAAATTCTGTGGGAGCGTTTTTTAAATTGCATATTAACCAGACCAATGATTATCAATCACTTATTTTGCAAAATTTTGATTATACTGAAAATACAATATTATCACAAAGCAGCGGACTGGCTAAAAAGAACAACGGGACTAACATACAACATACTGCGGAACTCAAAATCGACAGCTTTCGAAATAGATGATGAACGGTCGAACGTACATCCGCGGTAACACTTCCCATGGGAATCCTGCCGCCGTTGACTGACAAATAACTTAGAATTACGGTTTTCAGTGAACATTTACCTAAGGAAATGGTCAGTTCAGCAATTTTACACGAACTTGACACATATCACGATGGTAAAGATAATAAGATAACACCACAACGAAATCAATAACCGATGTTTTATAGATGCTTCTACTTGTTTGGCTCTTCATATAATATCGCGGTGTTTAGCGTATTAAATCTTCCTGCAGTGATTCTAACCAATTTCTACCAATTCCCTTTTTAACACAATAAACTCTCAAAGACATAATTTGAGTACCTATATCTTTTCCTCCAAACTGCTGAACATAAAAACGTAGCAAAGAATTTGGCCGACATGTTTGCTGCGTTGGTTCATTTTTTACTCCATGTTCCGCGTATAACTAGACGAATACTAACAAGTACATACACACATGGTCACTTAAAGTAGACTAACAAGACTGGCCATCTATGCTTATCACAAGTTGTTTATCATAGCGTTTGCGAAATAAATTTTTAATGGCACTACAGACTAGTTTGCTTTCGAACCCGTACGCCACCATTGAGCAATCTACGGCGCTACCGAGACCTGGTTAAAGAGTTCTCTAACCGTGAGTAACTGCTAAAAATCAGGCGATTTTGAAATATACAAGCATTAAACCGTAGTCCGAATCAGACAATTGTTTAACTACGATACGCAGAACAAAAATCTTCAGTCATGAAACAATGAATCGAAAAATCACACAACTAGGAATGCAAGTTGGAACGAGATAAGGGACATTTCAATGCTGAATTGCCTTTATATTTCGAGTTAGTTTTTGTAGAACTTACCCGACTTTTTACCAATAGTTACCTTCTCGTTATCAATTCGAACGCCGGTTTGTCGTGCACAGAACTTTAAATTGTATTCATTAATATAAAATCAATACATACATGTGTATTTTTATTCAATATTACGACCGAGCATATGCGATAAGTTTGGAATAAGGCACACATTTAAATGAATATTCTGAATTTTGAAACTGTATATCTTTAACAATAGGAATATATTCCACACTCTCAGGTTTATCCATATGTTAGTGGCATTACAATAGATAGTAGGTTGGAAATCAGTAGAATATCACGAAACGAAGACATAATCTTTATTACAGATTTCCAATTTTAAATTATTCTGGATGTTTTAAACAAAGAAAACAAAAACACATCTTTGTGTTATATGACCGTTCGACCGAGAATAGTAAACACAGATGATTCGCAACTAAGCTAGTCCAATGATAATGTTGCTAACAATAGCACGATTGTTTGCAGCTATAGTTAATCGTTGCGAGACTGGCTGAGAGGGCTTTTATAACTATTCGATTTCCGAGTATTTTTATATTTAATTCCAACTTAACGAATGATGCAATTTTCACCTAACAAGCAGCTGATGTTGACTACCGCCAGCCGTAAATTCAGGACCAAATTGCAATTGTATGGCAGCAGAAAGAACGGCTTACACGAGAATGAACACGTGACATACATTACAGGCGACTAGACAATCCGGATATCACTGGAATGTTACTGAACATTTTTAATCAAGTACGCGAGTATCTGTCTTTAATCAATGTAAATAATGAATACGTATAGCTACGGGCCACGCGTAAACGATTATAATAACCTTTCAAAAAAAATGCCACAATATAGTATCTTATCCACAATTGGCGTACCGCATGCTGAGATACTTTGACTGAACATGGTTAAACACAATTTCTAACATCTTGCATGAAATACGACTGACACGTGACAGTACGGTAAACAAAGCAGATGTACTATGTTCCTGCGATAGCTCTTTACTTAAACGGCAAATGCGAAACGAAGCCACCGAAGGGCGAATGAGCGACTCATCCACTCGTTACGCATCAACAGCTCGACTGCGAAACTTTTTCTCGCGGACCAATATTGTTACGGCTCTTTGTCACCGTCTGCCGAAAACAGAGCATATGAGAAGCGAAATAGGTCAGTGCGACATAGGGTACTCATAATTGCCATTCATTTGTACCAATAAGATCTGGTATGTTGTATATTTTAAAATTGTCTGAAGGATTTTACTATGTGCTCCACGATCATGACCAATAATGGTGTTATTATCACGACTAATACATAGTTATTATTAATTGTAATAAATCTACATTCACTTCAGTTTTGCCGTTTGTTGACGATTATGTTGTTGATTATCTGGTGCTGCTAACAACGGCAGCAACGCTGCTGTCAGTACACGGAGTTAAAAAATAATATGGCTCCGCCAGTCAGCACCTATACGCTATACACACAACGAATCAGTGTTTCAGAGGGGGCTGGGGCAAGCGAGACAAAGACTAGTGGCGTCAATTGGGATAATTGTGACACAACATTTTTGAGACGTCCGTTAGGCTACCCCTACAAAATACTAAATTTCTGAATATAAATAACATCGACAATGAATGATTTTCAAAGTTCACTTTGGAGGTCATGTAATTTTATTCTGTTATATAAGTAAGTGCAGTTGATAATAATGAAGTATAGGATTAAATATTTCATCTTCTGACTATCCATTTTCTTTTTTATGGAACTCGGCTGCAATAATAAGGTCATCCTGGGCTTGACTGCAGAAATATTAAAAGGTTTTTATTGTGCGCAGGTATACGACAAATGGTATTTTTGATGTGTAAAAGTGTATGGTTGCTGGTGAATACCATAACAGAGAATGGGAACAGCTCATCCAAAACAAAATAATTTGAAAGGTTATAACACGTTTCGTGTTTTATCTATCATAGGCTACTAACAAAATAGTCGTGTGGACAAAGCACTGATCGGAAGACAGCCTCTCGGTCCGTCTCAGTGCTAATTCTTGAAGAGTTCGCAACCGGGCCGCAACGGTTACTTTTCCAGGTGAAATGCTTTGAAACATGTTCGCAACCTTGCAGCAAATTTCCGCCAGGCGTTATATAAAAACAATATTTTTAGAACGAACAGCGAAGACCATTGAAAATATTTGAAGATGCCTGGGTTTATATATCTTCAATTCTCCAGCTGTATTGCTTGGCGTTAATCACGCAGTATAAATTAAGTAATAACGCTTTAAGTTACGCTTTTGTCTATAGGTGCAACTAAAATCATTCAGAAAGTACAACTTTATCTGTGTACAAATCAATTTCGGTAGCTGAGATAACATCTTGACATTATTAAAACGATATCACAGTATGCAGCAAAGATTTCCACATTCAATCCATGCTTTTATCGTGGAATGATAATTATAGGTTGTTTGAGCTGAATATATAGTTTATTCATCATCTCTCATAAAGTACAGTGCTTTTTGAAACACGAGTTTTTAATTCGAACATCAACATATTTTTTTCAGTGAAAGAGAATCATAACGTCATCAATCGCTAATCTTTTTTGTGTCGTCTGCTTGTCATGTTGTGACTATAGTAATTCGATTTCTTTTCACGAAAGCAGCAAATTTGTTTCGAATAACATTGATCATTCGTTTTTAAGACACACAAAAGCTTATTGATAAACTTGAAATCTAGAAGGATATGGCATGAAATATGTCTCTTCAAAGACGATTTTATTACTTCAGGTGTTCAAGTGACGAAGATTAAATTCTATTTGAATAATCAGGGGAAGCGGTCTAATTTACTATTACTCTACAGTTTACACTCTCTGTAATATTTTTTAATTAGCGCAATCTTGATATTTATGATGCCTTACCTTTATTGGAATAAAATTGGATATAATTCGAGAGATGTTGCCCCAAGTATGACAAGTCTCTCAATTTATACAAATTACCACAACAAAGAATTTATTTTGAAAGGGAAATTGAAGAAAACAGACCAAGATCTGGATTAAAAATTAGGCGCAAAGTTTATTGCCACGGCTTAGACTAAAAATTTTACCAACATAGGTAAAAGAATTATTGCCACGAACTAATGGACGCATCGGTGACAAAAGCTAGAAAACTTTCATCAAGGTTATGTTTCATACAGGCTAACTAACGTCAGCTTTACTCTAGAGAAGGGGTTCTCAACCTTTTTCCTGTTAAGTACCCCCGAGTTGTGAAATATTCAAACACGAAGCCCCAGTGATCAGACACCAAACAAAGTTGACTAGCAATTTTTAAATTGTGTTTTGAAGCAGTAGTTCCCAACCGCTGGCTCGTAGACCGTCACCGGAAGCTTTTTTCTCGGTCTGCAAGAAATTTTTTGCTTTTCAGCCGTCTTAATCACTTTACCCAACCCGAAAAAACGACGTTGCGTTTGTTTATTACGCAATTTCTCTTTCCCCGACATATTGCTGTTCGTGGTAATAATGGCTCGACGAAGTCTTAGCGCGGAGTAATCACACTTTTCGGTTCCGATTCATGGCAAAAGCGTCCGTCAAATCTCGCAAGGTTCAGAAATCTAAAGATCGGCACACATGTTGTTTCTGTTCTGCATGCTTTTTCTGCTTAATATGAACATCCAATTAAAAAGGTTATGAATATTCCTTTGTTCAAGCCAGAAAACAGTCATCGACAGTATAATATTCCAGGGCTTCGCCTTGACATCCAGTAAAATATGATTCTGTTGCAACCCTCCAAGTGGCCACAAGACGCGCAACAAAAGCATGGGCCGCGGAGATCTTTTCCAGATGATGCACGGCAGGGCTGTGTACTTGGTGCCAAGTTACCGATGCCTTTGTTATCTTAAAGTAAATTCAATTTGTTTGAGGCGTTGATTAACTGCAAAGGGATTAATATGAGATCAGTTAACCAACAAAGCATTTGATAAGAACGATGACAATATGTCTTCTTCTGGACAAAGTTTGGTCCACTCATATCAATTTTTGGCCGGCGCATTATTTGTTTTGAATGTTTTCAAGTGTGCCTTTTTACATGGAAGCATAGAAAGTGACCGACAATGCATTACATTTCGCAAATATATATATATATATGTTATCATTTTTTATTCCACTCATTTAAATTTTTTACCCAATCGCGAGTACATTTATTTAATTTTACCGGTCCGCCCGAAAGGTTGGGAAATACAGTTTTAAATGATATTAAACAACAAAAGTTTTCATTTCATTTATACAGAATTTTATTGTGAAGGCTGCTCCTGTGTATTGCGACTATCGGCACGCATTTTCCTCTGATAGTAAAGGACATGAAAAATAGAAACACATGAAAACTCAACTGCCATTCAAGTACCCCTGGAAATCTTCTTGTGAACCCCTGGGGGTTCGCGAACCCCAGGTTGAGAACCCCTTCTCTAGAGTCTAGACCTTACGAGAGTCCATCGATATTCACATGAATATTGGATACAATTTAATCAATTCCACAACTTTGAAACGAATATTTATAAATTTTTCTTCTCGAATCAGTTATATAATTCAATGAGAATCAGTTATTTTTAATCTTTTTCTGTTCATCCGCATATGCTTGATGTAATTATGATATGAAATGCAGAGAGATATTATTGTGATGGCAACGAATACTAACATGAAAATGTATTCCCATGGAAGGAACATTCTGAAACGGAAAAACATGAAGTCACAAATTCTCAAACTTCACAACGGAATGAAACAAATTCACCTCACAGTGTAAAATAAATATCTAACAAGAGCATGGCAACTAAAACGAAATTTAAACTAAGATGGAAAATCACACCCTAGGCCTAGAGCTCTAACTAAAACATCGCTTGAAATAGATACCAAATTTTGCCATGCATAGCATAGTAGCAGGTCCAACCGAATTGCCATTCTGTATATTATAACATGGATTAAAGTGGTCGGCAACCACCGGGCCGCGGCCCATCGCGGGTCCGCAGAGAGGTGACACAACAACGGACAAGGCCGTAATAAAACCTCTACAATCTAACCACAAACCCCACGCCAAAAAAAAAAAAAACAGCACCCAACAGTAAACCAGACAAACACAACACCGGGGGTCGGCAAACTGCGACCCGCGAGCTAATTTGTTGAGGCCCTCGAACGACCCGACATTTAATACATAAAACAAAAAATTGATCCCAATTTATTATCGTCTCTGACAAGTGCTGCTGTACGGCGCTTGTTATGTAGCAAGTATAGCGTCAGTTGTATGTCGTTCGAGTTAATTTTAATTTTTAAAATTTAAAAATGAGGGTCGAGCACTCCAAAGTGCTTGAACGGATAAATATTTTTCTTTCTTGCGCATTCCAAAACCGGTTTGCTCGATATGCCCAGTCAGCATCGCAGTTGTTAAGGGTTTCAATGTTAAACTCGTTACGAAACGAGTCGTCGAAAACCCGGGACTGCGCCACAGCTCATCTGTGCGACAGTGCAAAACGTGTAATGTGCACGCTCGGAAGAACATATGGCCTTGAGCAGCCTTATCTAAAATGCATTACACTTAGATTAAATATCGTACTTGCTTGTCAGATCATCATTTGGACGACAAGTTGCCATAAAAACATCATCTTTCACATTGATATTAAGTAAATAAAAACAATATATTGTTGGATAATATATTAAAAAAACGCCACATACACATCTCATTGGGCCAGGCTTTCAACAGAGCGAGGGCAGTAATGCGAATGCGCCATAATTTGAAGTTTAATTAATGTAGCGATTGTTCGAAGGCGGAAATATTGCGGCCCGCGCGTTACCGGAAATGTATATATTTGGCCCGCAAGTACATGAAGTTTGCCGACCAATGCACAACACTATTTTAAGCAGCATGTCTGACACTCTGACTTCATAAACAATTGCCATGTATGTGGCAATATTGCTGGGTCACTTGTTTTCTCTACGCCCGTATAAGAATGTCTCTCATCAGTATGAATAAGATCTCTCCAACAAAATGATACAGGCATTGTTAACTTTCCCAAACTCTTATTAATGTGAGGCCTGGTCAATATTGATTACTACAAAAAAGAAATATCGAAGTAGGCTGGATGTAAGAAACACGTTAGTGTGTCAATGTCAACCATATCTCGAATATGGGAACAAACAGTTAATAGTCATCAAACAAATACAGATATCGCATTAGCATCACCGTCGTTTTTAGTATATTGTCAACATAAATTTCCTAATGCGTATAAATCATTGCATTGGCTTAGTTCGTTTGTATAAAGGTGGTCCGCCAAAAGTTTGGTCAGACTTTACCGGTCTGTCACTAGAAAAAGGTTGCCGACCACTGGATTAAGTCATTATCCTCGTTAATGGTTAACAATGATGTATCAGAAATTGGATGATCTTTAAATAGAAAAAGTCTTACAAAAAACAATTCACTTACAATGATGGTTTTTGCATAATTTCGATTGCAAATTCCATTCTTAGATCACAAAAGCTGCAAAGAAAAATGTAATAAATTTTAGAGATATATATTAAGCAGAGTGAATTCTTATGAAAAATGAAATCAAAGCATACAAATTTAGTTCAACTTCATTTCTATGTGTTTACCGCTTTTTGCATAAACAACCATTATAAAAACCATTTGTATAACTTTTAAGACCCTTAAAAAAAGAAGTAAAAAATAATGCCTTTTTAAAAATGCCGAAATTTTACGATTTTTAAACGTCGTATAGCTGTACCGTAAAGTTCGAAACGGAGCTCATGCATTCATTATGCGGGTCGTAAATCTATATATCTCTTTGTCTTATATTTTATTTAAAGTTGGTTCTCTTATTATCAATATTTCAGAGTCAAACTCCGGCTACCCACCTCTCACTCAGAACCTGTGCTGAGAATACAAATATATTTTGTCCGTTGGGTGGCGTAATAGCGTGTGCAAATGATATATTTGCAACCCATCTGTTTTCATTTTCGCTGTCAGCGTTGCACGGGCATGCACTAAAATATAATATAGGATAGATCAGCAATATTACAAAGTCACAAAATCGACTGAGTGTTGTGGAATAGTGGATATTTCTACGAGCATCGACTGCATTGTTCATTTCCGTACCAATGACCAATTAGCAAGAAGTCAACAGTGGACGCCGATAAACTTTCCGTAGTATTTTTTATTATTATTAAGTTACTATTTATGTTTCTAAAATTTAGGTATAAGTAAGATATCTCTGTCATTTTGTCATCGGAAGTGTATTCGTTTAGTTGCAGTAATCAAAAACGGGATGGACTGAACTTTTGAGTTTTGCTGCCAGTACTTTTTGACGGTAGCTGTTTCAACATTTTGTGACAAAATGAAGATGTTATTGAAGATACCGAGGTAGTAGAATTTTAAGCACTATGGCTTTGGCAGTAAAAGCCGTAAATAAGCTGCTATCTAACCTTTTCATGGTTTGCAACATCAGATGTGATGGTGAACTTACTTCGAAGAAATGAGAGCAATGGTAGCAATTCTAAACAACAGGGTATTTTATTCAATAGTCACTTACAATATGTGAAGCGCTGAACTCATATGATACAAAATACCCTTACGGGGTGGACAGGTCAAATCAAGTTGTCTGGACGTACAAAAAGCATCATTAGTATATGTTTATTTGATATATTTAGCCAAATTTAGATTATTGATGAGGCACAGTATCAATTAAGTTCTTAACCATACGCGCCATAGTTTTGAGCTGGCAATTTATCTTCGAATTTGGTAGGTACTTTTTATCATGGATATATACTGTATATTGTGGATACTTGCACCAACCTCAAGTGCTTCTTCTAAAGTGAGTTACCCAGAATTATTTACGACCATGTGCTAAGAACCATTACCATATGCCATTCCATAGTCGGAACGATATTTCTAATTGTGAAATAAATATCGTACTACAGATAAGTTGATTAAGGCTGATTTTTCAAATGCACGTACACATTTGTACAAGACCTTCACCTTTTTCAGTAAGTTCAAATTGTGCAATTCGAATCCAGTTCTGTTATTGAGTTCTATCAGCAATAAATCGTCGACTATTCCGAATAAATATTCATTGTTTTTATAAACTTCAAACTCAAGGTAGACTAGATTTTCTTCATCAATTTTAAGATGACACATACCTGTTATTTTATGATAAAGCATAATAAAAACGGGACAAACTAACAATATCAGTAGGAAGACGACTAAAATCAAATGGAGTTCACGTTCTAGAATCTAAGATATGACTTAGAGCTATTGACTACGATTCAGGAAAACATCTCAACAGGACTTTATATAACAGGACATGGAGCTGATGGATTTTCAAATTAACAGCAATTAACATATATTAATATAGTACATTTCGTTACATGCCACTTTTTAAAGGCTCACTTAAGTAGCGAAGAGTATTTCTTTTGCCGAATTGAAGGTTAAAGATAATAGTTGAACGTTAGATACAAGTTTTTATCATTGCCCTGGATGTCAGATTCCAGCGCTATGGATAATTTGAATAAATATTGTACATAGGAAAGAAATAAGTCTTACCATCTCCAAGTGTGCAATTGTTGTCATCTCTTTTGTTTACAAAAATTAAAATAAAAAAGTTAAATACCATTATTTGATAATCCATATTAGTTGGAGGAAAACAACAACAGTACAGACAACTAACTAAAAGGCATATATATTAATATATGAACTTATTCGCATTGATTAGTAAGTTTTTAGATGATCATCCTCTTTCTCATTGCATCTAATTTTTCATTGAAAAAAGTTAATTTACTAAAACTGAAGTGGCAAACAATATAGATAGATATCTTACCCCGTATTGGCAATTCGTAATTTCAGTCCTCCTGGGCATGCCATGTTCACCAAGTAAACCTAATTTTGAAGTAAGATCTGTGTTACCAATAGCACAAGAAATTATTTTATTTCAATTCAATTTAAAAAAAACATGGTATATTTACAAGAATGTGTAAATGCACCTGTCACCTTACCGAAGTTAATTTACCGCGATCCGGAAGTGTTAAATAACAGTGATCAAATTTTCGCTATTTTCAACAGTGAGAAATATAAAGATTAAAAAAGAAGACGTATGAAGTTACCTGAGAATTTGAGTTCATTAATGCAGATGCTGTAGTTCTGTCATCAGTTGGTAAATATACCAATTCTATCAATCCAAATCCAGTTTTACAATACTGTGGACTGATATTGCAGTCCGCTATGAGTGTGATCGTTAATTCCTAAGAGGAATAAAAATACTGCAAAACTCTTTGGCCTATATGCTGTATTATTTGAAAGAATTCCCGATTAGAAAATATCAATGAAATTGTAACATCCGAATGTAATGTAGTCTTTATGTGACGAGGAAAATGAAATTACAATACCGCCCTTTTATTTTATCATATTGAAAATACCTGTCATCAACTTTGTAGTGTATAAGAACACTAGTGATAGCTTGGCAGATAGTTAAGCTAGAAATAGTAGCACAGTTTTTCGCAGAGTAGCGGATTATAGGAATTTTGGTCAAAAATATTCTTTGTAACAACGATGTACTGACTACCTTAAAATAGCGACATGAAGGCATGAGCAAATCTGCCAATTACAAGAGCTCGGCCTAATGAAGTGAACTTTTGTTATTATGGAGCCCGTGAAGAGGTTGACTATTACTTACGGAGTTACGGAGCCCCACAATTTATTTAAAAAAAAAAACATTGTTACTTACCTATTAATGTTTCTGAATAAATTGAAATTTCCTCATTTAATGACTAGGATGTATTTGCTGCTTTGTATTTAAAAAAATATTCAAGTTGCGGTTGTCAAAATTTCATTAATGCGGTTGCTTCTTTGGGTAGTTACAAAATTAGCCAAGTCTGTATTTTAAAAAGCAAACGAAAAGCCTGCTGTTTGAAGCGTCAGACTTAAATATGATAAGCACATCTGGTTAAAATCTCGGACCCAAATCCCATGCCCACCACCGCATTCATATCTAATGCACGGTATCATAAATTGATTGGGCAATGCCGAGCCGGAAAGAATCCGGTCTTCACAAGCTACAGTAACCCTTTCCTAAGCAGAGTCTGCTTGTGTAGGGTCTTGTTCGGAGCAAAATGAGTAATATATAAGAAAAACTGAAGATTGTCGGTGAAGAAATGTGTTTACCCTTGCATAAAGTAGAATATTTGCTGATATATATCTGGTCGAAATTTCTTCAGTAATTTCTTGTTTTAAACTCAGATTTTGAAAATCATGATGAACCTCAAACGTGTATCCATCATATCGAGTGGTGAGAATTGTAAGTGACAACTGCATGTAACAATAAAAAGAAATAGTTAAACAAAAAAGCAATGCTCAAATACAAGGACAGTATGACACTCGCAATATGCTATCAATATTTTAGCCAAATGATAACAGAATTGTTACGGATGTCATATGAAATGTTAAAAAAATTGTACCATATTTCATATTGCGATGAAATATGAAAACCAGAAAAATTTGTGACGAAATATCTATCGGATCTCTTAGGACGGATACGTATAAAACACGAAAAAAAAATATAGTTAGAGATAAAGTTTTGACAAAGACAGTTCAAACCATAATCATATTTAAACCGAAAAGCTTAGCTATGGTATTTATATTTGCGGCAGTGATTAAGGTAAGGTGAATACCTCAGACAAAGAAAAATTGCGCCTGTAAATGCTACTATTTTAAAAACGCTATACTCATTTGCATTTCTGAGTTGAATAACACTTTTTAGGAAGCCTATGAAGTGGGATTGATGGTAACTGGACCCCCGAAAGTTTGCATGGAAATGAAAACTGTCTATCTACAAGGCTAACATAATCCGACATGAATGTACAACACCGCGAACTGAATCATAGTCAGGACAATCATATTATGCATATACTGCGCACCGAAAAACTGTCTTGAACACTTTCTAAACGCATAACGTTCCTCGGTGATGAATATGGGTTGAAATTGATTTGATTTACGCCATCTTCAACGTTTTCTATTGCTTTTTGCACTTCAGATAATACAGGGTAAACCTGAAATAAGTCAGAAAAAAGTGATTCTGATGAAAAATGAAGTAACATTTGCAGTGAAAAAACGATCAATTCGGAAAATATAAAACATCACAGAAACACGAATTTAAATAAAAATTGACGGAATATAGCTCATGGCAAATTAAAGCAACGTTATGAAGCGTAATACGTTTTGGGTAAGGTAGTATGGGTTAACAGTGTTATTATAAACCGTAGCTACAAAGCTCAATTTACATCTTATGAGTATAAATATGGGATACCAAAAAGCCCTTCGTGAAGGATAGATTTCTCGTGAAAGATCTCCTCCAATCGGTAATTACCTCGGAAGTAATTTCAACATCACCCGATTCTGATTCTGTCCACGTTACGTATCTTACGTCTCCATAGGATAGAAAATGATAGACGTAGTTATTACTATTTCCCAACGAACGTAACTTTACAACTGCGGGTATGTGCAAACGCCCATAAAAAACTTTGCCGTCTTTGGTGTTTATTATCCAAGCATTTTTATCTGTTTTGAAAAAAAAAATTATGCCATTTTCAAGAATGATGTTGAGCGTTAATATTCACCAAGAATTAACACTCATTCAAGTTTAGAATGAAATTAAAAATAACTAATCAAGTAGACATAAACATGCGTGGAAGGACTGATCTTCTATTTGATATTAATTTATGATTGACCCAGTACTGGTTAAAGAATCTGGTAAAAAAAATGTGATTAAATGCAAAAAATCACAAAATTACCCAGCAGCCAGCATTCCATTTTTTTAATTCTACGACGTTGCTAAATACCTATATCGTGAGGTGTTGCTATATCAAAGCTATAATCAAAGTTAACAAAAATAAACATATAGGCATGCGTTAATTGAATGTTAATGAAATGTAGGGAAGTAGCAGTTGCATACCTACCTGTGTTGAAATATATATCATTGATATTCGATTCAAAAGTCACAGAAAACTCTTTGCCCGAACTTGACTGAGTAACACGCCGTGCGTTCCACATAAGAAAAGTTGTATTTGCAGAATTCAATATTTTTTCTACAAACGGACAAAAACTATATTTCACATGATATTGCTATAGATGTAAGCAAACATTACTTACTCTACGGATTACAATTTCAGAATATACATGAGCGCGAAAAACCTGTACCATAAGCATTTATATTTTCAGTTTACCGATTTTTAGTCAGTATTATTGAATTGTTACAATAAAAATTTGTAATAATACAAAAAAAGGACAAAGATGACTTAAAATATTACTTGTGAAGTCGAAGAAAAATTGCATCCAACTCTGAGGCATTCGAAATTTTATATTGACAAAACTTTAAAACCGACTCTGTGACAAGTTTTATTTATACATAAATGGGGCGGTGATGACAAATTTTTTTAAATATTTAAGAATACGAGACATACGCCAACCATAACTCAACGGAGGAGCAGATCACGAATTGAACGAATAGGTCAAAGTTTAATATATGCTTTGGCATTCAACATTATACCATGTAATGTGAAACTAATACAACTGATCATTTACGCCTTACGGTATTATAAAAAGGAAAAATACCTCCTGCCATTGAAGCGTCTGATTGCATATTGACTTGACTACACAAATTTCTATGGCAACGGAAATATTCATCTCGAGACGAAGGTCTTCCTACACTTACAAGCATATTTTCAGGATTTATTGTTTGGTGTACATTGACAAATCTCGATCCCGTATCTTTCCATAATGAATGGAAAATTTTATTTTCAATAAATATATTCCTAAATTTATTTCAATGTTGGAAATTCCAAAAAATACCAGTATCCTAGTGTAGAAGGGTCGATTATTCCGAAACAATAAGATTTCGGTTCTTTCCAAAAATGTATGTCCTTTTAGAGACTCAAGATGGAATGAAATGTAAGCTCTTTGTAAACCTGAGCCTATTAACAGTGTATATTTTAACCAAAAGAATTGTTGCGACTAGATAAAATATGTGTCATACTTGAATACTAAACGGAATGAATTTTATTGGATATATATTCGAAAATTTAATTGATGTGATAGAAACAAAATTGGACACAGAAAAATATAAACCTGGTGAGAGCATTTCTCCAACATCCAGTTGGACTACAGTCAGGTTATCGTTATCCTTGCTCAACGTTATTAAAAATATAGCTTCACTACTCCATGCATAGATCATAGAATTTTCTAACAACAACACAGACCCTCGATAGCAAACTGGAGACGCAGAAATTCCGATAATACTTTCTTCGGTTTGAGTTTTTTTGTTTATCAGATGAATTAGCTGTTAATATTTGCTATACTGATAAATTATACTGATTTGATGAAATATAGATAATTTGAGAGAAAACCATAGTATATTTCCACGTGTCTAATAGAAGCGTTGGAGGAAAACAAGTGAGCAATGCTCAAATATATTGTCACGAAGACCAAAACGAAGTAGTACGAGTATGTGATCTTTCAGTTACTGTTATTATTATAAGTTATTGCGCTTTTAATTACCAGGATTATGTGCGCCAAACTGAAAATAATTTTCTAGACAAAAACAGGTCCACATAAGCCGAACACAATAATGCAACACGCTACTTTTATTAATTGCAGTTTGAAAAAGCCTAAGATACGGAATTAATGTAAAATATAAGCCACGCGGAAATATAAAAAATTACATATGTATATCAGCTATGTCTATATTAACCTGTGGGTCGAATGAACAAACCTAATTACAAAGGGAATAACTTTTGAATCAGATACAGTAGTAGGTATTTCATTCGAAATGGAATATTTAAACTATGTGCATGATTTATCATAGTATTTCTCTCGTTAATATACTTTGAACAAAATAGTAAAAAATGGGCTACAGTTTCATGTACGGAGCAAGTATCGCATTCACCATCTGGATGACAGCCAATTTTACAAAAATGCGGAGATACCGGTACGGTACCGTAGTTTTCCCGATCTCGACTGATCACCACATCGCAAAGATCGCGGATCCGCCACGAGATGCACAATTTTTAATTTTAATGACGTCATCGCGAACAAAAAAAACTAATCTCATTGAGCTCACAGAATATTTTGGAATAAAAGAAAGGAATAGTCTTCTAGCGACAACAACAATCTTCAATCACCAAGAAAATCGATTTTTTTCTAACAACAACAACAACCTATTACCAAAACGATCTATTGGTACACTTCGTGTTCAACAAATCCAACACCATTTACCATATACTTCCGTGACGTCCAAGAAACAAAAAATGAAATAAGTAATAACTACTAAATGAAACGCAAAATATTATTATTTTGGACTACATGAAGTCAAGCATGCATACTTACAATAAAATTGAATTCGCCAATCGTCGTACTAGATGAATATATCTTTCCCTGAACAAGGATGAATATTCTATCTGGTGTTAATTTGACCATGGATACTATATGATCTGAAAAATACGTACATCAGATACATAAGTGTATCTAACATTATATGTACAATACAATTAAAATCGCACTTATTATGTAATATGTCGTTTTGCATAACCTGTTATTTCACAGGATGTAACATTAGAAAATTTTGATCCCTAGAATAAGGCGGATATCCCTTTTGCAGTTACCGGTACCCAAAAGATTGTACATTGTTCTCAAGACATGGAATACTGCGAGTTTGTTCGAGATATAAATATTGTTAAAATTCGAATTCCTGATTGTTTCACATGTACCGGTATATATTGTTTGATATTGGAAAATATCTCAAATTATGACAAAAATAATTCAAAAACGTTTCCAGCCATATTATAAAAACTGGTCTGAAATAAAATACACTCGCACATCTCGCGGAATTGACCGCAAACAAACTTTAAAGATTAACATTAAAATAAAATAAAATGTCAACCTTTTTCCTCTAAACTTGGCGAGAGAGAATTTGGAATTTTTATTTTGTGAAACGTTTTGAAAGCATCCCTGGTAAAAATCAGGAAGGATTTTGCAGCCAGAACGCTGTAATGTGGCGAACAAATACTGGTGAATATCTTTCCTTTTATATCATCTGACGGTCGCAATGAAACATTGCCTGCAGACAAAATAATATTGCATCATGAGAAAAAGTAAAAAATACTATGAACGTTTCACCAAATTACAATTATTGGGTAAACATGTATAAATTTCAGATATTGAATTTTAAATGTTAAACTTCGTGGAACTTGTTCTTACCAATGGTTCGAAAGTTTGCTTCCGGCGAAAGAACCAATGATCTTGCTGTTAACGATCCCGTTAAAAAAATTCCATTTTTCAGTTCAATAACAACGTACTTCAAATATTTTACAGAATCTTCGTCGATATTGACATCCCAGCAATGACAACTTTCGTTGTAAGCGATGTATTCTGAAAGAGATAGCCTCCTAACACTAACGGTTTTCAACTCAAACTGAATTGAATGCTTATACGAGCAGAATAAATTAACTTATCAATATGTTAACAAATAGATATCCCTATCTGAGGTGTTACAATTATAGCGTGGAATTGCAATTCTTCACAGAATAGGACGCGCAAATATTTTCCCCATAGAAGACTCAATACAATTGATTTTTATCTTGAAAAATGCATTCCAATTATTCCAAATCCATGACATTTGATAAAACAAGGATTGTTACGTGAAAAGTAATAATAACTCTCATAATCAAATTTGTTGGTCAAAATAATATGTGTTACTATCAAAATTATTGCACTTATTCGAATTATGTAAGTAACCGTCATGTCAAAGTGTACCTGAATATTATACAACGTGTCCTACTAAGTTTAATCAATCACATACCAGCTTCCAAACTTTCTCCCACAACTGTCGACAATACGGGATTTTGATTTCTACTCGCAAGCAGGTCCGATATTTGGTTGATATTCGACACGTCATTTGTTATGTCGAGAAGATGAGCTTGAAGCTAAAAGTCAAAACCGTAAGATAAAATAGTTCATGTTGATACGAAACGACAACGTTGTGACAGTTTCCCGAATTTATAACAATTTCATATCCTCAGAAGAACTTATATTGGGAATATCTATTCAACTATCTCAAGCTTTACGTATAGATATTGTTCCCGCTCATCGAATAATACTGAGGGACTCCATGAAGTTCAACATAACTAAAGAACTTGATTTGTTTTCCAGGATGTTTCTATACAGGCGATCTCTATTTAGTAAAAACTCACTTTTTTGGAATGGATATGAGATAGGATACTCATTTCAAATTCAAAAAAATTAATACGAGTGAATAGAGAGATTTATTATTTTGACAACCAAAAAATACAGTCATCAATGCAGTAAAAAAGCAACAACAATAACTTTTTTTGATTTGTACAGGAGGGAGCGATACGACCATGTACGGTCATCGAGGTCAACTACCACAATTGTCGGATGAAAATTGCCATATGCGCAAGACAGTATATCCTACTTACATTTATCATTCTTGAAGAAGTATTATATTGTGAACTTCGAAGACTCCAGTAATATTTTTCTACAATACAGCCAACTAATATTGATTTGAATTCTAAAAAAAAATTTCATTGATTTATTATTCTTTGGAAATGCGTTTCCCTTAATAATCATTGAGATGATGTCGTTAGAAGTTCTGCCAGAAGATACCAACCTGAGCAAGCTGATCGATTATCAAGATTGGTAATTATTCGCCCCAAGTTCAACGCAACTGACTCCACAGAAAGTCCGTTCGTATCAGTGAATGAAAAATTTCCACGAAGGCAACTATGCCCGTTCTCGAGAGTTTGCAAAACTGACACGTCACACCTGAATTTACAAATCAGAGCCGAAAATAAGTTTATCATTTCCCAAATAGACAAGAGATTGTCAGTCGTAATTTCTAAGCAAATATAAAGCCTCGTGAAAAGAAAGCAGTTACAGACATAAATGATCCACTATTCCGTGTGTTGCAGTGCACTCTTTATCCACATATACAGCATTGACTTGTACGTGTGTAAGTGTAAACAGAAACAAATCCCTCGCATTAGAATAGTGATGCAGTTACAAAAAAGTGGTACAGTCTACTAAATTTAATTTTTACAACACCATTAAATGTCCAAATTCCGATTGTTGCAGAAAATACGAATGTATTTTAACGTTAAGTCTTAACCACCGCCCACCATTACCCTAATCAATAAACCTCATGAACTGCTACTCCTGGGTACCATAAAATACAAATTAACCTATTCCCAACCGTACAAGAATTAGTCGTCATTCAACATTTCAGGAGGATCATAACTAACTTATATCCCTCATCTAGTCAGCCTGCTGCATATCCTTCTGAATTTCGTGGTAAATATACTACACCTTGAATTGACATGTGCAATGGAAGCTATTACAATTGTAACGAAAATCAAAGAGTCCATCTCATCAAATCCAATAGAAGCTGCTATATTCGTATCAACGGATCTGGGTGCAAGAACAATAAACGAAATACAGGCGACGAATATCTCTGAAAGTCCTTAACGAAATCGCAAGGTGATTAAATGTAGCGTGTGACGTCACACAGTTGGCAGCAAGGAAATCAGCTGGGAGAGGAAAGCCAATACGATCTTAAAATCCTTGGTTGGGATTGTGTAGTTTTGAGCTTTACACATGTAGCACTTATATATTTTTGATTCTCGGTTGTAATTTATATGTAATTCATGCTCCAAAACACGGATTTGCATACACATGAATTGCCTTGTCATTGTCAAAGGAGTCCAAAAGAGAATTTCACACCCAGATCATTATAATTTTTGTTCGATTAAACCGCATTAAAGTTACAACCATCCAGCTTATCTGTTATTTCAGTTGTCGGCATGTAATACAATAGCAGTTCACTTGTTGTTAGATTGAATTAGGGACGGTTTTATTATCAAATTTTATCACTGAAATGTAGTAAGTAACTTGCAAAAATTCGCGATTTGGCGGGTCACCGGTTTTACTATCAAATTTTGTCACTGAAATGTAGTATGTATTCTGCATTAATTCCTGATTTGGCGGGTCACCGAGAAAACATGGTAGATTTGTGCCATAAGCATTGTCTCTGATTTATGGGTCACTTCATGACCCGCGGTTTGCCACCATTGTCCTAAAACAATACCCACGAAGAAGCCCCACAAATGGCATTTTTATGCAAAGATTTCGTATTAGCCCATTTTCAAGAGCTCCGATCAAACGTAAATTGGAGTGATGCGTTTTATAGCGGTAAACCGATCAACTTTGTCTCGTTAATTAATTGCCAAAGTATTTTGAATGGAATTCCCAGTCGTAACCATGGGTACGAAATAAACGGCGAATGATTTGTATTTAAATTAACGTCCAGTTGCTTAACGCTCTTCAAAATCAAAAATTCAGCACAGAATAGAAATCCTCTAGACCTCCTGCTATGATTACATTAAATTACAGCCAGAGATGTCAAAACGAAATATTTCAATACATTCAAAATTTGTTTCAATACAAATAGTCAAATTTTGATTTTAGTTTGTTAGATATAGTTTATTCGATCCTATTTACTCACATTTATTCTTAAAAATACAAAATTAAATAAAAGAATGCATAAATAATTATTTTTTTATATTTTTCGATCAATTTGGATTTGGAAAATATTTGATATTACATATTCAAAATTATTTTTCTACAATGTATTATAAATAATTAACCACTCAGTTTTGCCCATCCATGATAATGGCTATGATATTCATAAAGTGTCCACTGTTCAGTATTCAAAAATTAGGGTAGAGATCTACAAAATTTATAAAAATAGCATAAAATCAATTACGTGAAAGTTCATATTTCATACTTTTTAAAAATAACCTCATATTTATTAAAAACTCATCATTGTATTTTCTCTTTGAAATTGGCCTGCTGTGATTTGTGTAACTAGTAATATCATCCAGAATGAAATCTCTAGAATTTTTAAACCCAGAATTTTCCCATGCATTTTCTACAAATAAAAATTCTTCATGTTGGTGCTGTGTGTAACTTTGACAACTATGGATAAGAAAAGCTGTATCGCAGGGATGGGGCACATGTTTATCTTTACAGCTACTTAAAACTGACTCAAGAAACATAAGTCTTGTTTTCTTTAGAACATTGGCAGCATATTGCCAACGAAAGTTCCAGCTGCATGGAAGCATATGGATTTTATGGGGATTGAAATGGGATATAATTGCAAATATGTCTCTATCAGGCACAGTGATATCAGATTTGAAAAGTTCATATACAGTATGAAGCATGTTAGGATGATAAGTCATATTACGGATTTCAAACTCAAACAAATTTGAGTCTTGCATAGTTTTGATACTAACTGGAATTTGAAACACTGAATGCCTCAATCTAAACATGTCATACAGAATGATTCCAGTGTCAATCGAACGAATCCCATATCGTGATAATGGATAGCTATAATGAGAATTAGTGGGATCTGATGGAGCTGTCAGAGATATTGCATTGTCAGACTTGAATCTTATTAATTCAGACCATAAATTGTCCAAAGAGTTCAAAAACACTGAGTGACTGTCAATATATAAAACATGATCTATCTCTTTTAAAACATGTGGAAGAAAAAGTTTAAATGCAGAACATGGCTGATGCAGGTTTCGCCACCCTAACAGTGATTCAGGGTAAGTAACATGACTGAATTTAAAAGACACACGATGTCGAATATAGGAGGGCCATTTGTCAAGTTCTCGCATAAGCGTTGCATACAGTTGATCCTCCGTAAATATATGAAAATGAATAACAGATTTTGACATCATTGTGGCACTTTTCATCATGGTGACTGCGTCAATTGCACTTTCTTCATCTTTATCAAAATCTCTTTTACATGCAACAACTGCAATTTCGATCTCCCGAATTGCAAATGCACGTGCATCTTCTTCACTGGTAAATCCATGAGCTGGCATCTTTTTCCGCAGCTCAAGTGGAAGTAAAGCTGCTGGGAAATGTCCAGTTGGGTCATCCTCAGCTACTAACCAATCCCATAGATATAGAATACTGATAAAAGCAAAAATGACCATGATAAGCCATCTTTGCATCCATGCGATATCTATCACCCTTTGTTGATCTAGCACCCATAATCTGTACCTTAATGTTCTTAAAGATTCCATCTGTGAAAAAAAATTAACTTTACACAGTTATATATATTTCACTACATCTGAAATAAGATCCCCCAAACTTCCAATAAATTTACTGTCTAATGAATGTCTCTTTAGCAACATGAACTCAACCCAAGTAAAGCTAATGACATCACATCGAAATTTTTTTCCAATAAGCATGCTACCAAGTTCATTTAATTCATTGAGAAAGTCTGTCCTAAACATCCATTGCACATCATTTATAATTCCATTGGATACTGAAAGTTGGACTACCATATTACCGAATTCAGGGGTATCATATGACCATTTTGTAGTAAATTTTGAAGACTTGCCAAATACCCACTCCCAACTTTTAAGCTTTGAGACAATAACTGTAGAGTTTGGAAACATGGCCTGATTCGTTGGGTCAACATGTGCAACAATATTCTGGTCAGAGTCGGAGCTGTACGTAAAATATTCCGATGTCACAGCATCACATATGTCTTCATAAGATATTCCAGGTACATAGTTTGACAAGTTTTTAGTTTCTGAGGGAACACTTCGAGTGGCCTTGGTGCTTACATCTGGTATGGATGATTTTAAAAATTCTTCCATGTTGCTGAGATTCGCGTCAAATAACAAAGTACAATGATGATAGGCATTATTCCGACCCAATTTAGCTGCAGACCCAGAGATCTTATATTTTTTATCCAATATAATGTCATCTCTACAATTAACACTCAAGTCCAAATTTTTCCATTTCCTGTTCAATGCACTAACAATAATATTCAGATTGGCTCTTCTGTCATATAAGCTGCGTGCGGTAAAAAATGTAATGTTTATGTTGCCCAAGTCATGATAAACTGTTCCACCTCCACTTTGTCTCCTCACAATACATACATCTTTCTCCATAAGTGACCGAACATTGCATTCTGCCCAAGGATTTTGATGTCGCCCAATTACAACTGAAGGCAAGCTCCTCCAAATAAACAGGCAGGAAGTTGAAGATAAATCAACATTTTCATACATCCATTCTTCGAATGCCAAATTGTGATATGGATTGTTTGTTTCAGTTCGATAGACAATATGCTTGGAATAGTGTCTCACTAAATTTTGTAAATTTCTAAAATGAAACCTCATGACTGCATGGTGAACTACAGAGACACCAAAAAAAAAAATATAGCCTAAATCTATGATATCATCTGTGAATTATAAAAAATCATGATTATCATAAAACCTTATTAAAATAATCTGATTCTCATAAGCCTGTAGGTAAATTCAGGCAAGACTAGTGCAATAGTGTACCGTACATACAATCACTCAAGAGCTATGGCGCGGCGGTGTGGCTCAACGGGCTAAGCGTTAGGAAAACGCTTGCCACCGCACCTCTGATTACTCTGCGTGGGTTCGCAGGTTCGAATCCCATGCAGGGATGGTTATGTGCGAGAGGATTGCTGCACTCCTCGCCGTCATTGGGTGGTTCACTTAACCGCTGGTCGGTTACGGCTTCCTCCACCACCAAGTCCATGCTTCCGAAAACAAACAATATATCTAATGTTAGTCGTTGGGTTCCACAATGTGGATTGTTCAATAAGTGAAAGACATATTGTGTACCAATCGTGAACAAACGTATACATTCTGACATTAGTAACATCAGGATAATTCAGTCAGATGTAATATTTCCATTTCATATAATCCATGGAGTTCCAATAATTCATTCGTTGATTTCGTAATACAAATTACGTAGTTGATTTTAAATTATTTAGCATGAAAAAACAAAATTTTATAATTAATCACAAGTTATTACATATCATGACAAGTTCTTTTATATAACATAATTCCTTTCTCACTTTTTCTATATTTTTTCACGTTATAAGTGAAGTTTCTAATTTTCATAATAACATTTCAGTAATTACACTTGGTTTATGATTTCGAAATAGCACAGCACCCGACCTTTGACCCCCAGAAAATTCTTTTTATTCTTTACCACTGCAAAACTTTTGGTGCTTATTTTAGGAAAGGTTTCGCGAGTTGGCGCATATAGAATGAGGTATTTGGTTCAAACCATGATTCTGATTCATAGCATTCAACAATCTGTTTTTTGAAAGTACCGGTAAAGAATTTTAGCCTGGTCTATTACAGCTATTTCCACACTAATTTTTGATTACTGCAATTAAACTAAAAATCCTAAGAAGAAAAAGGGACTACTGTATATAATTATTTGATTTATATTTAAATTTCCGAAACACAACTGAAAACTAACGAATTGAATTCACAAAACGCGAAAACGAGGTGAAAATATGTTTACGACCATTAAGGTGTATACCCATACAAGGCCTTCCTGCAATAGAATCTCGTGGAATGTATATTATTATTTAAATTTTAATAAGATGGAAAACGGATTGACCATGGACCTTTCCCCGAGCATCGACTTCCTTGTTTACTTCGTGACATTGGCCAATCAGCAAGATGCAACAGTGACGTAACAATGCTTCCCTTTTCGTATCCGCTCAGAAACTTTTCTCACTCAGACAGATTTTCAAACGTGATCGTAAACATTACCTGTATGTATGTATGTTTATTAGTCTCGTAGTAGTAAGCAGTATAAAAAATTGACAATATTGATATTGGAGACGGGACGCATGCACAAGACCGTACTGGCCTAAAACACAAATGTGAGACATGCACCCCTTTTGACAAGTACAGAACAAAAAATACAGAACTGTTCATACAAGGGAGTTTATAAGACAAGACAATATATATAAATAGGGACAACACAATACACCAAATACATATATACATAATGATAAAATAAAAATTTAGGCGTAGATACAGCACCCTTGAGTGGTGGGACCATATACCGGTAATATGAATGGGCGAAATATAGGAGGTACATGTGCAGTGCCTATACGGTCGCGCCACTCAAGGGTGATAAATATAGTCTTTGATAGAGTATAGATATTTCGGAAAAAATGCGAGCCATGCAGATTTGGTGAAATGCTCTAGTGTTGCTATCAAATTCCTAGGTATTATTGTTCTATTTGAAGGTTAAAGCCAAACGTGGTGAGAATTACAGAAAAAAAATAAACTTGATGAAAAGCATTTCAACAAAACCCAACATGATTGCATTTTTTCCAGAAAAAGAGCAATGTATAAAAGTACAATTAAATTAAGGCTGATGCTTTAAAAAAAGAATCATTATTTCTCTGTCATGGAGTGCCCAAGTTGAATTAAAATCACAATAGAATAGTATAGTTTCCTGGGGTGAGGGAAGGGGAAAACATATTTGATTTTGGGCGATGACCTATAAGAGGAAGAGAAGTCCCAGCATGGTACTTTAACAAAAAGCATTCACTTTTTTGATGGCTGTATTTAAATTTGATGTAAATGCAATGTAATATGCTATCCTAGACCTAATTTGCTGTTCTTTTGTCTTTGTCTAATTCCGCATGACAATAGAATTAGAACGGTGATCTAAATATTAATTTAGTCCATTGTTTCATATTGTATCCTGCTGAGGTGGCCTGTGGACTTGAAATCGCACTCTGATGGGTTGTGGTTTGGTAGCCTTCGAAGTTCCACGATGGTGGTTTTAATCCAAATGGTCTATAATCGTCCCTTCATTTTCAATTCACCTTAAAAAAATAAGCTCCGAAACAGTAATATGTTCAAAACAGAGAGTTCGGCTAATATGATGATAACAAATATTGCATAAGTTTGGAACGAAATTCTGAGCTTGATTTAGATTTTTTGATGCTATTAGGTAAGGAATTCCAAGCTTTTGGTCCACATACTGCAATGGATTCTTGTGAGATACTTTTAGCAACATATGGAATAAAAAAATTTTCTTTATTTCTGCTGTTTGAATTTGGGTTCGCTCTGAACAATCTGTTCAGGCTGGATGGAAGTTGCCCATTGTAGCAAGAGAACATTATGCTGCATAGTTCAAATTTGGCTAAATCCTCAACTCGTAGTAGCTTATATTCTTTGAATAAGTCATCAACTTTTTCTCGATTTCCCCTATGGAAAACTCTTCTAATAAAACGGTTGCATACACTTTTTTTACAATTTTTTTCATAATGGATGTTTGGCGATGAACATAAATTGAGGCACAATATCGAATATGGCTTTCTATCAGAGAGTGGTATAGAGATATTAAACAAGATGTATTCAAATTGTTGGCTATTTTCGTAATAGCACCAAGAGACGACCTTGTTTTCGATAGGACCAGGTTTGTGTACTTTTCCAACACAATTTATCATCAATTATTACGCCCAAAAATCGCGTCTGGTTAACCCTTTCTATATTTATTCCATTTAATTCCAGGTTTTGTTGTGATGTTGGACACTTTTGCTTTGGCGCGATAAATACTATATATTTAGTTTTCTCTATATTAATTGTGAGTTTGTTCACAGACAGCCAAGCTTGAATATTTTTCAAATCCGCTTTTGCTTTGGTCAAAAGTTCAGGCAAGTTTTTGCCTTGACGATATGGAGTTGAGTCATCAGCAAACAGTATGATATCAGAGTGAAGAAAATAATTTGGAAAATCGTTAATAATGATTGAAAAACATAATGGAGCTAAAATAGAACCTTGTAATGTGCCTACAGTCAAATTACAGTATGTGCTGGATGCTACATCATTGTATATTACTACTTGTTTCCTTTCTGATAAGTAGCTTTTAAACCAATTGTAGCTCTGACCTCTAACCCCAATATGGTGCAATTTGGCTAGTAATATGTCATGGTCAATACTATCAAATGCCTTGGATAGGTCCAAGAACATACTACGAGTATACTCATTCTTATTAAATCCTTCTAAAATTTTACTGACAAGCAGAGATGTTGCATGACATGTCGAGTGATTTTGGCGAAAACCAAATTGCTGGGAATAAAAGAAATTTTTTTGATCTAGGAAATTGTTGAGTCTTTTGTACATGATTTTTTCCAGTACTTTGGAGAATGCGGGAAGTAAGCTGATTGGTCGGTAGTTCTCTACATTTTTTGCATTTCCTTTTTGAAACAATGGCATAACTTTGGATAATTTGAACTGGTCTATGTATTTACCAGATTGTAAGGAGCAGTTAAAAATATGTGTGTTATATATTATATATATAAGGGCACAAATACAATTCCAGGGCATAATTCGAATTACTTTAAAGGGAATTCCATCTATTCCACAACTGGTTTTAGGCCGAAAAGATTTCATGATATTTTGGACTTCGAAAGCCGATGTCGGGGCAAGAAACATGGAAGTTTTACTGGGCTGCCACATATATTGCTTAAAGTCATCCCTTGTGGTATGAGGAAACCGTTCAATCATTTTATTCCCAATTGTAGAAAAGTGTGAGTTAAAATGATCTGCTATTTGACAGGATCAGAGGTTTCCTGTCCATTAAGAGAAAATACTTTTGTTAAATTTGGTTTAGAGCGTCCAAGCAGATCGTTCATAGTACGCCGTGTCTTCTTAAGATCATTACGATGTCTACCTAGTGATGACTTATAGTAATTTTGTATTTTCACAGTTATCAATTTCTCATATTTTTTCTTGCATTCTGAATATTTGTATTTAGACTGTTCTGATTTTACAGTAAGATAGTTTTTGTATAGTTTATGCTTTTTTTTCTGCATTTTCAAGAGTTCCTTGTCAAACCATTTATTAATATTTTTAGTATTTCTTTTCTTTAGAGGGAAACAAGTGTTGAAAGATTAACTAAAATACTCAGTGAAAATACTGAAGGCTACATCGGGATCTGTTTTGCTGAACACAACAGAAAAGTCACTTTGTTCTAGCAGGAGTTCAAAATTATCTAAATTTGAGATATTATAATGTCTAAAGTATCCGTTTTCTGTCTTGCAATGTTTTTTCCTCGGTGGAATGCAAACTAGGACTGGCAGATGGTCTGAAATAGGATCGACTATTATTGCACTAGGGGGTTTACAATCAAAGATATTATTCCAAATATGGTCAATGATTGTAGAGCTGCTTTGAGTGATTCGAGTTGGCTTTGATACCACCGGATAAAAAGAAGCCGAGTTCATCAGTTCACAAACTTCATCTACAGTCTTGTTATTTGTTTCAAGAAGATTATAATTGAGGTCTCCCATGATAATACTATTGTTCGATAAGGATTGGAGTGTTGATTCGAGAATACTAATGAATTGATTATTGCTTTGACTATCTGATAAGGGGGATCTG